ATTTCATTTGTCTGCAGCGTCAAGCACTTGACAATCACTCACGTAGCCGTGCAGCTTCCTGCCCCTCTCCCACCACTTTAGCCACCTTGCTGCCCCTCTGAGCCCCGTTGGGTGCCACCCCCTTGGAAATCCCCTCGATAAGCCCGCTCCCCTGGTGCTAGTCTGGGCTTTGGCTTCAGTTTCGTCTGGGCCAGGTTCTGGGCTTGGATTCTGGGTCTGGGTTGTTGGCTGGCTAGATGGCTGGCTGGCTGGCTGCCTGGTGTTAACAAGTTCCCATGCAACCGCTCAAATATTAACGCACACACGGCGACACACGCTGATTCATTGGAGGCAGCTGTCGTTGTCGTTGTCGGCAACTGTAAATAAATACTCATACAGCACGCGGTGCAAAAATCTTGTGTGTCATTGCACTCGACGGCCAGGATTCTGGCAGGAAAAAAGCTCCACGGATACGCGACTCCAGTGGGGGCAAGAATCCAGCGAAATATTTACCCGCAAACCGCTACAAATCATTAAAATCATCGAAATGCCAGCGAGGCATAATTAACTGCAACTCAATCAGTCCGAGGCGTAGAGTTGGGGCATGAGGCATGGGCATGGGTATGGGTATGGGTACGGGTATGTCATTCCGGGCACAAGCGTCAATGCAATTAGAGCTTGTCTGGATGTCTTGGACAATCCAATTGGGTTCCACAGGCTCATTACGTGCCAAATATAAGTGAGAAAGAAACTCGCAGGCAGTGAATCTGGCTCTGATTGTGGCCCCCGTCGAAAGTGGGCGCCAAGACACGCCGTCGACCGTGTTAATTGCTGCAAATGCCTCAAGGTATTTCGAGGCCCACGCCCAGCTGCCCCGGCCCCTTGCCACCCCCCTATCCAAACCCAAGGACCATATGTTATGTGGCAATTGTGTGTGAGGTGGCTGTAAAATTTATGCCCGCCTGCGGATTGCCAACTTGCCTTTGCCTCTGTGGCCACGTCTGTGAATTTAGCTAAAGATATGCACAAGCAGAAATTGCATTTCTTTAGTATAACCACAAGTTATAGCAACCATACTAAGTTATATCCTAAGGAATACCTTCTTAGTTCACTCTTAACTTGTATCAAAATCAATTAAAAAATGTTTTGAGTTATTTTTGAGAAATGTTTACTGCATTTACCTTACATATTTTCCCAGTGCACCTTTGGCCATGCATATTGCTCTCGAGGAATGAGCTGGGCTAGCAAATTCTCGGAAATTAGCGCCAGAGTCAGAGTCAGAAAACAAGACGAGACGAGACGAGACTAACTGGGACTAACTCGTGAACAAATTTAAGTAATTTTGCGCACGCATATCTCGAGAGGAGCATCGAGTGCCGTCGAATGGGGAATATTTTTCCAACTAATTCTAGACGGGATTATGTCATTGTTGGGGGCTCGGGAAGAGCGCATCTCCGAAGAACCCTTTCACGTCTGTCAGAATGGAATTTCCCCGAAGTCATCGCATGCCCACCTCCCATTAACTCACAGTCATTTGCAGTCTAGGAAAATAAATGCCTTTGCCCTTGGCTTCAATTTTCCAGCTCATTTGAGAGTTATTTACATCTCACTGCCCGACGCCCCCGAAACCAATAAGCTCCATTTCGTAGTCAAATCAGCGAACTAAAAAAGGAGGAAATCAGTGCCTGAGAGCAAGGCCTCTGTGCCTCCCATATACGAGTATCCCTCTAATGCCCCAAAACCTGGTGCGCATTTAATCATCATTAAAGTCTGAAAGTCTGAAAGTCTGAAAGTCGGAAAGTCGGCAAGTCGGGGAGTCTGGCACTGGTTCAGGTTCATGTTGATGCTCATGTCTGATGAGGTTGGGCAATCCTTCCGAATCCGAATCCGAATAGGAATCCTGTTTCTCACCTTTTTGCCATTTGCACTCTTCGATGCTTTCACGTTTTTCATCATCATTACCAGCAGCTTCTACGCACACAGCACGGCGAGTAATAAATAATTTCGTTTAGCCAGAGCCAGAGCCAGAGCCAAAGCCAGAGCCAGGACCAGACCAGAAACCCCTCGTTTTCCCAACCAGACGGATGTGCTGAAAGTGTGTTTGCCTTTTGCCTTGGCTGGGTGTTACTTCCGCAAACATAAAATGCCAAAAAGAGGGAAAATCGGGGACGAAGGGTCCTGTGATCCATTGAAATATGACAAAATGCTGTTTGAGACATTTTCAGTTATTGATACGCCCGTCCGTCCATCAAGCAAGGAAAAGCTGAAATGAATGCAAGTAGGGAGCCGGGTTTACGATGATGTGGGGAGGAGCGGAGTTTCGGGGCACAAATATTATTAATATACCAGCCAAAAAAAGGAAAAATAAAGAGCCGGCGATGGGGAAGAGAGTAGTAAAATCCCCCGGAAAATTGAAAGCAAAGTTTCGTCTGATAAATAGGAAAAAGGACGGGTGGTTTCTGCCAAATGCCACACGCACTTTATCACAAATCAAGCCAAGTTTTTCCCGGGGAGGGCGTCGAAAAGGGGGGTTTTGGCCAAAAGTCACGCCCATCGCCCACCGCCCGCTGTTGCTGTGATAAATTTGATGGGAAAAGAAATTATGAGGGTGTCGCTAGCTCAAGAAACGATGCTGATGTTGATGATGTCCTGTAAACACAGGCTCGGGCATAAAGATACGACGCTATAAATATGCCGGGCGATAAATTTCCCCAGTGTCATGTGTAACGATTCGCCTCGAGGGGAGGCGGGGGCCGGGAAGCCCTGCTCAAAAATCGATCAATGGCATATTTATCATATGTGTGGTGGCGGGATTTTTGGGGACCCATTCGCACATGGCCTTGCGGTTAAGTTGGCAAAGTTATGGCATTTGTTGAACATTCATGATTTAACTTTTCAGCGATTTTCCGGATGTGACAGGTTGTTGGGGCTAGCCGTGTCAAGGGAAACCCGCAAAAGAAAAACCCGTTAAATAGGAAATTATGAAAATAATGGTTTTCTCATTGCCCTTGCATGGCAAGGAACTTATAGTTTCCAAATTATAAATAAATAGAACATGCACTGGAGAAAATGAATTTTGAAAAATTCTACAGTGGTGTTCCCTGAAGACGAACATGGCAATGAATAAGTTTATTGCCGCGCAAATTGCTTTCCATTTAAATGTACATAATTTCTAGACGGGAGCTTAACGAGATGAGCATTAAATTTAAGGAAAATGTGGAAAATGCCATCGTAAAAGTGCGGCTCATAAATGTAAATTGTAATTTCCGCTGTGCGTTGAGGCGCTGCCACTTGTGGGTGGTTTTTCGAGGGAGAGGCGGCGGAAAAGTTGAATGAACTTGTTGTTGCATGCGTTTGGCTGCAATTAAAATTACATGCAGTGCATTCTCCATTCTCCGTTCTCCATTCATAGTGGCTGTCATTCAGAGGAATATGCATTTTAATTGATGTTGCTGCTGCAGTCGATGCTGCTGCTCAAACTGCTGCTGTTGCTGTTGCTGTTGCTGCTGCGTTGACAGAGTGACCAAGTTAAAGACAGATGTATGACAGATGTCAGTCAACTTGGCAGCCGACTTTCCATTAATTAGGCATAATATTTCATTAGTGTAATGAGCGCCAGGCGATGGGAAATGTGCCAGCTACTAGCGTCTAATGAAGGCAGAGGCACAAAAAGCAGGCAGCCACTATCTACGCTCTGCGATCCTACACCGAAAGAAATTAGCATGCTGTAATGGCTGATTTGGCATAGCATTTGAATTTAGATTAAAAATATGAAATATTGTGGGATTCTAAACCACTTCAAAGATGAACTGGCTATGTGGGATTGCAGAGGGTTTGAAACCTTTCCTCTCCTTCATTACATCATCTTACACCAAGTTACACCCCTTATGATTTAGTACGCTATTTAACTGCTTTTCTATCCGTGTATGCAAAACAACAGACTTGAGGTCTGGCCATGTGAAATGTGTGAAAAGTTGGCATGTTTTCCAGCTGCTCCTTTGCCGCTGCCGACTGCCTCTGCCTTTCATTATGCGAGTGCACATTAATTATTTTGTAGTTGCAGCCGCTACAAAAGGCGTACCACGGGCACTCTTTTTCTTTCTCCAAATGGCGGCGAATGTTGTGTGAAGTTGCCGAGAGATATCAGCCTGTGGAATACGGCAGACACTGGCGTGGCTTAATTTGTTTGGGGCTCAAACTAATTTGATGGGCTCAACGATTGAAACGTTGGTCTTTAGACTAGTCTTTTTTGTTGAGCAGGAACACAATCTTAACATGTTACTCATTGCCGTGCGGGGGCGTCACATGCAGTTGTCCATCTTACTTAAGTGTGCTTAGAATTCGCGCTTTATCAGCCGCATTTCTTCTTGTGGGGGACTGGGGCTTCTCCGCCTCTGATTCAGGTTCCACTGAACCGCGTATTTCGTCATGATGGCTTTAAACCGATATTATGGCAGCCTAAAGCCCGGCGCTTCCTCCTCTTTCCCCACCTCCTTTCCTCCGTTTCCCTGGGGACTACTATGTACTATGGCTCTAATGACATAATCTGCTTTTGGCCAACACACAGACACACACAGAGACTCACAGAGAGCCCTTTAACTAATCCGCTTAAGTGACTTTGTTGGTGTTGGCGCTGTGTGTGTTGGCCGTAGGTGATTCTTCTCTGCTTCTTCCACTTCATGCATATTAAACTTATCGCTGGCAAACAACCGCAATTATAAAATTATAATGATAATGCCCGACTAGGGAGCGGCAACCGCTGACAGTTGGACTGTCATTGCTGGTGATGATGTTGATGTTGCCTTCGCCGCTGATCTGCCAGCCAGATAAACGGCGAAGCCAAAAGAGTTATTAAAACAAGGCCTAGTGGCTTTAACTACGCTCAAATGCCAGAGATTTTTACTACCATGTTTACATGCAGACAAAGCAAACCAGTTTGCCCGTTGCAGTTGCATTCCCACTAATTGCCAGCTAATTATGTGCACGATATTAATTGCCACTTTCTATCTTTTCGTTTGCAGAAAATGTCCCACCATTTGCGATACACCGCGGCGTATACTTAATCTTGTCAACGGGCCCAAAGCACGGCTAAAGCAAACATGAACTGCCTTTGTCGCCCATCACGGATTATGTCCGTGCGCATTAATTTGCTGGATGAAACCGAGTTTATACACGAGATCAAGGTGAGTCAGCTCTAGAGCTCTACAGCTCCTTTTCCCCTTTCCCTTTCTCCTTTCACCCCCAGGTAAACATGGCAAACTCTTTCGCTTTCACCCCCATATCACCATCATCATCATCATCATCATCATGATGCTGAAGAGCGTTTTGTAGCCACAAAAAGTGTTGCATACCTTGCACGTGCCTCGGATTTTTAGGGGAGCCAGTGGGTGCCCGTCCTCATCAATATTTAGTGCAGGGCCTTGTGACTTGGCAAACATGCAAAGTGTCATCATTCACACGTCCATCGCCACAGATGTCTGCTGTTTCCATCCAGCGCCTTTCCATCCTTCCATCTCGCCGCTCTTGGCTCAAAACTGCTCACGTTTGCCAAATTAAATGGGTCGCCTGGCGAATCCCTTTGTCTCCATTCTCCATTCAGCTCGGCTGGGAAAATTGTGCTGATTTTGCACGCCATCTCATAGTTGGCATCATTGTGCGGGCAAATCAAATAAATTGTTGTGATTCTTCTCCGCCAGTTGGCCTGGTTTCTGCTCTCTGATTTCAGCAAACCTTTGCAAAATCTTGTCCCAATAAAACCCACATGGAAAATGAAACTCCCAGCCAGCATATTTGTATTTGTCTCTCCGGCTTTTAATTGAAAAATATTCCGATTCCAAGAACGGCATCGGGGGCATAAATCAGTTATGGATGTTCGGAAAAACTTTCATTAAAATGCTATAAACTAGCTCGATGACATCTATATCGACTGGGGATAAATAGCATGTGGAAGACATTTGGAGAGCACATGAAAAGTATTTTCTTCTTTGTGCTCCGATCAAAAAATAACCTAATAGAAAGTTATCTTCTCGAATGCCTGCAGAAATTGAACTACAACTGGCCAATGGAAATGTAATTGCTAAGAACAAATTAACTCTGGTTGATTACAGTTCTCTTTTTGGAAATCTAATGGACATCCAGACCACAGCTTGCCACAAAAATAACCTTGTTGAAGGTTATCCGCCATGACCAACCCTGGGTAATCGACTGATGTTCAGCGGAGATATGGTTGAACCGCAACATGATGCCCGATCATATTCAATGCAAATTCTTGTCATCTCAGATGCGATGTGCCTGTGAGGTCTGCGACATAATTAGCAGCGACTTAAAGGGCCGCCGGTTAATTATGCAGATGCCGTAAAGTCGGCCCATGAGTGTGTATAGTAAATATGCACTACAAAGTGTGCAGGAGAGTGTGTGCGAGGTAATTGGACCAGTTGAGCGTGAATCGCCCACGGGCGGTGAGTGGAGTTGTTGTGGAGACAGCCTGCTGCCTGATTGATCGTCCGGCGGGATAGAATCGGGCACCGAGGAACGGAACTCAGGCACGACGGCAGACTAGTTTAGCCATTCCGGGAACCGACTAATGACACAAGTCTTGTGGCGTGCGGTGCATGGCATGTGCAAAAATTGGAGCACGTAAAACGCTAATAATCACAGCTCATCAGGGGAGATTTATAATAATTTTACAAGATCCGAGCCGCAAGCCGCCGGCTGCTGCATTAGGAGGCGTGGCAACAATTTGACAACGGCCAAGTAGACAAGTGGACAAGTGGAGAAGTGGCCAAGTGTTTCTGGCCCGCAGGGGTCGCCATTAATGAGTTTAAAAACTGGACAGAGCCAGAGCAAGTGCTCGCTGGCACAACTTATCGCTTGTCATTATTGGCGGGTCGGGGCGAGTCACCTCGACTCACCACATGATTGATAAAAGACTCGCCGCCGACAAATTCCGAAAACCCAGAAAAAAGCCACGACAAACAACGTCGAAAGCCCAGCCATGAATGAAAACTCAAAGCGCCGCGATGACGATGGGCTGATATGCAAAAATGGCAGCGGAAAAAATGCGTGTGGCCGCCAGCCTCAAAACGTAATTTTATTTACACGACCACAGACTAAGGGCAAGGAGTGGCAGGCGGGAGAGCGGCAAAGGCAACTTGGGCGGACTGTCTGTCAAATTGCCGCGGCGACGTTGTCGTTTTGGCCGTGTTGATTTTGACGGCTGCCTATGGCACTAAACGCACGCACTTAAAGCCACCAAACGGCTCCAGAGTTCCATTAATGACAAAGGTATGAGGAAGGAAAGCCAGCAGATACACAGGAAGAAAAAGTATAGGAATTGGTGATCTTAAATGAGTATTGATAAGGCAACAAACCCGACATGGGAATATCAAATTGCTGAAGAGCAACTTTTTTCCGTGTAGATAGATTTATATAGAGAAGGGGAGATGGAGGGCAGACCATGTGGTTGACTCGCTTTGCATTTCATCTCGCGCCCAGGGAGTGAATGCTGCAATATTCGAGTGTGCCTCTCTGCAGTTGGGTAATCGATATTTCAGGGCCACGGCAAGAGCTGCGCCAAACGTTGCGTATGAGTGATTACTCGGAATGCGTTATCTTGCGGATTAAATTTAAGTCGACAAGCGGAAAACAAACAAATTCATGCAGATACACCCGCCAATGAAAGCCGCAATATTATGACTGGAAATTGGCTGCGAATTAATTTAGCTGAATCATAAAGGGATTTATTAATTGTTAACTTTTTGCGGTCACTTAAAAAGTGGTTATGGAATCATTTCGCTAAGCTTAGCTACATATGTACTTCGTGCTAATTTGATTTCAAAATTGCATTCATAAGCAGCTTTTGCGCAAAAGCCACAATAATGTCAATAAAAACTCTTTTGTAATTAATTTAATCAGCTTTTGCAAAAAAGAAATAGTTAATGGCAGAAATGGGTCCTAAAAGCTAAATGTCATAAAATTACAGGAAAAACATGAAAACATAAAACATAAGTACAAACTCCATTATATCAGTGACAAGAATCAAAGTCATTACAACAAAGCAAATAAAATTATAAGAAATTTAAGTAAAAAATGAAAAAAAACCTTATGAAAGAACGAAATTCCATAAAAATAGTTTCAAATGAAAAATCATATAATTAATAGGAACTCTTTAATCCCCAGTTTTAAAGACATATAAATACCTGAGCGTGGTCACAAAGTTCCCTGGCAAAACTTGACACAAATTCCAAGAGATCTTAAAGTTCCCGAGACAAAAGTCTGAGAAATGGAGTTGAACCCGCCGAAATCGAGACAAACCTCTGCTGCGGCGACCCTGGAGACCAGTCACTTAAAGGCTGGCAAAACTGTGACAAATGATTTTGACGACTTCATGCCCAGACTGGGAACTCTACGTGAGCATATAGACCAACATCTGAGCCCGAGTCTGAGTCTGTGGGCCATTTATCACGCTTACCATGCTAATGACATTTGGCCGAAGCCGGGGCGCAGACTTGGCCACTTCTCGAGTGCTCCCAAGCAGATCGCCACTTCTTGGCACTTGGGGCGGCCGAAATGGCATAAGCTTGTTATTGCTGGATAAGGTTATATAATTATTTCTTAACGGTTAAAGCCGTTCCGAGGCAGAGTGTGTGGGCATTGTTTGTCCAGCGCTTGATTCTGTCAATACAGGGTGCCATTGGAGAATTTATGTAAATCATTCCACGGCTCTAGACACTCCACTTCACACTGGTCATTGGTCGGTGGCTGGTGGCTGGTGGCCACAATGACAGGCCGAAATGGAAAATGGTTAGTTCGAGTGCTTCACGTTCAAACACTCCATGGCAGTTCGAAATCGCCATATACGAGTGAGTACGTAATACATATCGAGGCTGCAAAACACTGGGGCCAGAAGTTGGCCAGGCCCCCGAGCGACATTTAATTAGAGTCCGCAACTCGAAGCTCGCAGCTCACAGCTCGCGTCATTGCTGGCCGAAATAAACCTGCAGTTTATGGCCAACATAATTAAGTTAAAAGCTTTTTTACAGTCCCCCGCCATTCTGCAGCACAAACCGGACAGAGCTCGCTCAAATTGATAATGAAAATGAAAATAAGCAAAGCCCATGAAGCGTGTTTAATGGCTAAATAAATGCCGGGGTCTAGATTTCAGCACCCACACCTGTATCCCAGTGCCTGGCTATCCCAGTGTCTGTGTGTGCTTTAGTTTAATGTTGGCCAGGTTAGCAGTTATAGGCGGTAATTTAGCCCATTTCCCAAGGCCAGGCCATCGATTTGACCCATGAAGTCGAAATGAAAATGGCTGCATTTCCATGGCAAATGTTTAATAACGGTACAGAAACTCCCGGTGAATGGATTATGGCTTTAGTTATGAGGCACAGGGAGAAGAGTTTTCAGATTATGATTAAATTATATTTCAGCTGAAATATATCAGAATTTGAGTTTCAGTAACGGTTTGCTATGAAAACATTCCTCTAACAGCATAAAAACTTTTACAAAATTCACTCAGTTCATATTTTCCTAATAGGGAACTTATTTTTCTCCGTGGAGAAAGCATAAGCGAAATTCAAAACTCACAATACTCCCGCTTTCAACCGTATTAAATGACGTAATTAATAAGAGGCAAAAGGTCAGACCCAACAGCACCGAATGTTTTACCTTTTTGCCAAGCTCAGCGAAACAGTTTTCCGGCGTTGCCCTTTTTTTTGGCATTTTTTGGGGCAGCTGGGGTAATTACTTTATCTGTTGCTGAAGTTGCGCTTCGGTTGGATAATAGGATTAACAAAGCGCCCCTTGAAAGAAACCAAAAACAGAAATTCGGAAACTCGAAAGCCGGGCCAAAACTGGCTAAGAGTTTTTGCGCCCGTTCGTTGCCTTTCGCAGCTGTCAGAACCATAACTCAGTGTCAAGTCGAGACTCGGCGGCTATATCTGAGTATCTGAATATCTGAATATCCGAGTACGAGTATCTGCGTGGCCACAAAGCCCCCGCACCGCCGACAGAAAGACAAAAAGACAAAAAGCAATTGTTCAATCGGTTGAGGCTGAGAGGCTGAGCCATAGCCATAGCCTGATCCAGAGCCAGGGAGACCGGCGAAATAGATTTGCAAACAATTTGCAACAATTCAATCAAAAAAACTTTAAACGCAAATACAGAACGGACAGCCATCAGC